GCGGACATGAACTCTACGGGTCTATAGCCATTGCCATCATCTTGCTGTAACACTGCGCCTATGCCGTACTGGCTAGCATCCGTAGTAACGACAAAAGGCAAGGACGGATCGGCGACTTTAAGGACTGGATACTCTATTAATGCCTGCTTTAACTTCTTCATGGCAGACGTGCAGTCCTTATCCCACTTCCAGATGGTCTCCTTCCTCAACAATCTGCGAAGGGGCGCAGCGATGGTGGAGAAGTTCCTCACGAACTTCCTGTAGTAATTAACTAAGCCCAGGAACGAGCGCAACTCTGTCAGCGTACGTGGCGTGGGCCAATCTCTAATCGCTGCGATCTTGCTATCCTCTGCGAGGGTCCTACTAAACACGAGAATGTCATCTAGATAAACTACGACAAATCTGTCTAACCATGGCCTAAACAAATCATTCATACAGCGCTGGAACGTAGCTGGCGCGTTGGTTAGTCCAAAGGGCATCACTATAAACTCATAATGCCCGTACCTAGTCCGAAAAGTTGTCTTATACTGATCATCAGGATGTACCTCTATTTGATGATATCCGGACTTTAAATCTACCTTAGAGAAATATTTGGCCCCCTGCACTCGATCTAAGAGATCGTCTATCCTCGGCAGTGGCTCAACATTCTTCACTGTAATAGCATTCAGACCCCTATAGTCTATACACATTCTCAGCTCTCCCTCTTTCTTGGGAACAAAGAGAACAGGCGCTCCGAAAGGGGACGAACTGGGCCTAATCCAACCCTTCTCGAGGAGCTCGTCTAACTGCTTGCGAAGCTCCTCTAACTCCCGTGGGGACATCCTATATACAGCGCCCTTAGGAGTCCTACTGTCAGGCTCTATCTCAATACGGTACTGGATGGGCCGCGGTACCACTCCTCTCGGCGGCTCGGTTAGGTCCTTGAACTCTTCCAGCAGCTTGGCAATCGCAGGGTCCATCGATTTTTCTTCCGTAGGCTCAGTCACTGGCCTCACATAGGCAACAAAGACCTGCTCATTCAATTTCTCCTTCTTCACTAATCTGGCAAACGCGGGGGCACTCRGGCAGCAATGCGCCAAGGAATTCTCTACCCCTGACACATGGAACAGGCGGGCAGCCTGAGCCTCGCCTGAGGAACTAGGGAGCCTACACTCGTGCTCCTGCAGATGGAGCGTCGCCCCAGCTGCTTCTCCCCAATCCATTCCCAAGACAATATCAAATGGGAGGCTGTCTTCTACGAGGACAGTCAAGGAGTGGAGGACCTTCTCCACTTTCCCATCCTTCTCTAGGCGGAAATATGCCTGGACTCCCTCTACATACTCCTCTACGACCATAGTACGATTGTCCGCGAGGATACTTACTATAGGGTCTGTCAATTTCTGGACTTAAAGTCCCAGCTTCAACTTCTGCAACGCTTTCTTACTAATATAGCTGCGGGTGGCCCCTGAATCTACTAGGGCCCCTACTCTACTTCTAAAAATCTTTGTATCTAGCAATATAAGTTGCCCTTTATTCTCCTTCTTCATCTTGGCCCAGGCGGGCATCCTCTCCTTCAATTCTTCGGCCATGCCTGTGAGGGAGGTGTCTAGCGAAACTCTAACGCAAGCAGTTTCGGGACAGCTGTCTAGACACCGGCCTGCAACCTCTGCCATAGGCACATGTGGTGTGGGAGTCTCCTGCCGGCTAGCGCTATGTTCCCCACATGGCCTAGTGGTAGGGGCAGTTGCTACCCCTACCGGCGGCTGCCTTTTGGCCCTTGGGCAGCCATTCGGGTCTCTCTATACTTGGGACAATATTTGATGATATGGCCCGGGTCACCGCAGAAAATGCACTGGCCCCGGTACAATCGTTTTTGCCATAAGTCCTGGTCCAGACCCAAAGATTCCCAAGGCCTACCCTGAGGTAGCCTTGGGTGCCATCCTCCTACTCTATAAGGAGACCTATTCCTAGGACGGTTTTGCGAGGGACCTTGACCCCTGCCTCCCACTTGGCGGTTTCCTCCTCTGCTGCCAACCCCCTGATCGCCTTGGAATCGGTTCCCTGAGGCCCGGCCCCCGTGGCCCTGGCCTCTTCCTCCTTGCGGCCTCCCTCCAGCCGCGACAACAGAGTAGGATCTCCCCTGGCCCACACCGTTGTCCACCTCCTCTAGCCCCCACTCAATCTGATCGTAGGGAATCTCATCCACACTACCCTCATCTAAAGTCAGGACAAGGCTATCCTTGGTCTTTACCTGCCCTGAGATAGTGCGGCCTTTCCATTGCTTTCCCTTGTCCAAATCCTTATGCCAAAAGGTGGACAGGGACASTGACYTCGSTTCAAAAGCCACCACCTCACGACTAAGGGAATCGTAAGTGGTGGCAGGGYCTTYGCTCTTCGCGAAGAACTGCCCTCGAAAGGCTTCGGGCAYAGCCCGGTAAAAGAGGTTGACCAACTGGCCCTCTGTGACCCCATGGTCAGGGACGACCACCAACYCATCCATTGTACCCTTGAGTGCCCTGGCACTCTTCCATTTACGAGAATGGATGGTTTGGAGCTTGTCTGAGGCCTTTACACTGCGAGCGACATCAGCAAATCGCTCGCGCAGCAACTTCAAGAACTGGGTGAGGGACGTAAATGACGAGTACGCAACTGGATCGTCACTACAGTTGGCAGCACGAACAAGGGATCTCGCGAAACTGGCGGCCTCGTCTCTAAGTGCATGGATCGCAATTAAGACCTGCTGATCCGGGGAGACTTGTTGCAAATGCACATAGGTCTTAACATTGGCCTCCCAATYGTCAAAGTTCTCTTCCCTTTTCCCGCTGTAGGAATCAGGGAATTTGACTTTGACTGGCTCCCTGCGAGGACGGGCCTCCTCCTCCTTGGGAGCGGCCACCTTGACRCCTTCGATGGCGCCGACACAAAAACGCTCAGTCTTCTCGAGGCGATGACTCACCTCGGATCCCGCGGCGCCTACTAGTTCGCGAGCAAAATCCCGTAAGCCTGTTCGCATCGAGCATACAGATATCTCCTAGCTGCGACTAAACTCAAAGTGCCTTTCTTGCACTTTAGCTAACCGCTCAACGCTCTGGGCGATGATCTCCACTTTACGTCGGAGATTCGCTCGCGGAATCAATTGTGTTGTTACGGCAGCCCTCACCTCCTCCAGTTCCTGCATTGCCGCATTCGCCGCCTCCACTCTTCTCTTCTTCTCCCTCATCACTGCGAGCTTCCACGCCATCCTTTGTTCATCCTCCATCGCCCGCTGCATGAGAACATCTTCTTATGCTTCCCATTTCTTCATGGCGGCTTCTTGCTCATCCTTGGGGATGTACATAGCAACTTCTTCCTCCTCACCCAGGGATACGTTGGCGACCCACTCCGAAATCTTCTTCTCCATCTCATCGCGGCTGCGGCCGCTGTGCTGCCCACTCCTTTGCAGTGGTGGTCCCTCCTCCCCTTCATCCACCTCCTTCAGCTTCTCCTCTTCTTCCTTTATCAGCCTCTCCTTCTCCCTGGCCATTTCTTCCTCCATCTTCTTCAATTTGGCCGCCTGTTCTTCTTTCAAGGCCTTCTTCTTGGCCTCCTTCTTCTCCTTCCTCTCCTGCAGGATGGCGACCATCTTCTCCTCCTCCTCCCTCGTGTATGGTTGGGTGGCGGTACCACCTCGAGTGGGCCCTACTCTACACGCAAAGGTATGCCAAAATCCCAGAGGAAAGAGGAGACGCCAGAGGGTCCCCCAGAGGGAGAACCCAACCAGCAACCCATACATCGGRTAGTCATCCATCRTGGTGTTGGTGCACGACAAGGGTCCCACTCCTCACCACGTAGCCCTACCCGGACACACTAACCTACTGACTGACTTCCTAAGGACCACAGGATAAGACTCTGTCAACTATGGCCACTACTAACCCAAGACTACTCTAAGGCTGTCACTACAGAACCAAAAGCTGATCAGGGGGCATTTAAGGAGATCCCCCAAACTCCGCAAGAATTCTTTAACGTCGCAGACAGGACGACGTGATCAGCTTGGTTCCTCTGGAAATTTCAGCCCACAACTCAGCCCGTCCAGCCTACTGTGCCACACCGAGCAGCCCGCCGGTCTGTACCGGTCCTTGGAGGGGTTCGTATCCCTCGGAACAGTCGAGTCGTCAGACACAGATCATCAGCCTTACTAGGTCCGGTAGGGGAGTGGCTCAACCAGGCCTCGACACTTAAGGACGGCCTTCGTTTCAGCCTGCAGCTCGGAGTTCAAACCCTCCACACTGGACTCAGTAGACCTGCCGGACAGTACCGGTCATTGGGCTAGACRAGTTGTTTAACGAGCGCTCGCCGCTCATGCCCAGGTCTCCAAGTGTCAGAGTAGAGCTTAGGTCCTACTAAGCCCGTGCAGGTTTGGCAACAAGGCCCTATCCTTCATCCACAGAGTCCTAGCACCTAAGACAGAAGAGACTCAATGCAGAAAGAGTAGACAGACAACTCAGCAAGTACCGCGGGGTAAGTGCACATCCACAGGGTAAGGGGATAGGCTGAAGGGTCAACGAGATATCACCAACTCCAGCTTGGTCAAAATCTTGATCAGCAGCAACTCTGGTCAACGCCTTGATCAACGCCGAGTCAACGCGAGCAACCCCCAGTCATTGCTTGGTCAACACCCTCGGTCAACGCCTGGTCAACCCTTGGTCAACCCTCTGGTCAACTCCTCACCTCGGCTATGGCTGCCGGCACCTTCACCTTCGTCACCCTCGCCGTCTACTCCCCTTTTCTTCACCTTCTTTCTTCTTTCTTCTTTTCTATTTTTTTTTGTTTTTGTTTTTTTTGTTCACCCCCTGCTATGTTTGTCTTCTTCTTCAATCTCCTCCTTCCACTCTTCTTCTTTTCTCTCCTCAGTCCCTCCTTCTCTGTCCTCCCTTTCTCTCTGCTCCAGTACTCTGTGT